TATATATATTATATCTTAAAATATAAATTCTCTTAAAATTTAAATTTTATAAAATTTATTTAAAATTAATAAAATAAGAAATAAATTTTAGGAAAAAAATTTATAAAGTTTTTAAATAATCTTAATAAAATTCAAAATTATTAAAATTATTAAAATTACATTTAATTTTTTATTAATTTAAATTCATAAAAATAATTAAATGAAAAAAATTAAAAAAGGTTATGAAAAACTAATCGACCAACCCAAATAACGATTACCCATGTAAGGGGTAACTTATCATGTGGGAGATAGTGACAATTAACTTGAGAACTTGCCCTTTTCAATTATTTTATTTTAATTACATTTTTCTTAAGCTTTTATTATTTGAGCATTTAATAAGAGAGAGAATATGTACATAAATATGTAATAAAAGAATAGAATTTCCTAATATTTATGCAATTTCTAAAAATTTGCAACAACCTAAGTATAACAGTCTCAAATGAAATGCAACTTGATGTCAATATGCTTAATCTTTTTTATAAAATAAATGATTTTTCATCAACTAAATTTTAGTATGACTATCAAATCATATTTGTATTATCATTTATGTTTTTTCAAGCTTCTAAAGAATCAAATGTTTTCATTCATGTCAAAATAACATCAATGTATATTGCCTCTAGGATCTCCACTACTAATTCAAAGTTTGTTTTTTAGTTGGCCTTGTTTCTATATACTATAAAGGCATACCTTGTCAATGATACATATTTGTTAAGATCACCGAGAGAATCAAAGATCAAGTTGCCTTTATAAATATCAAAAGATATACTAAACGATCTTCTAGTATGCTCTCCCAATTTTATTCATATACCTACATATCATACACATTTTATAAGCTACAGTGATACTATATATATATGTTATTTTGACTCCCAATTAATGAACTAAGGTAAAAGGGCAATTTTGTAATGTGGCACCGCCACCTACCACATCTCACCTATCGCTCACCTACCGCTCACCTACCGGCCACCTACCGGCCACCTACCACCCACCTACCTCCCACCTACCACTCTCTTGCTTCTATAAATAGAGAGGGTGTGAGGCCTAGGAGAGAAAGGGAGAAGATATCTTGAGCTACCACAAAGGAGGAGAGAATAGCTATAGAGTTAGAGAGGAGGAGAGCATCTTGAGGCCTTGTATCAAGGTGTCGCTTGAGAGGGAGGCCATCGAAGGAAGATGAGGGCTCATCTTTATGTATAAGCTATGTATTCTCCATTTCTTTTGCCTTAGTGAAATATTTGATTGATTCCCTCCCGTGGACGTAGATCCAGTTGGATCGAACCACGTAAACGATCTGTGTTTGCTTGTGTTCTTTTTCGTCTCATTTCTATGTCAGGAAGTACATATCTCACAACATCTGAGAGGCATGAATTTTTGAGAAAAATTTTACACTTTCTTAAATTTTACACATTCTAAACTTTTTGAAATTTTCATTATTCTGCACGAATCTCAATGCATGACACAGATTTCGAGACAACTTTGAGAGGAAAAAACGTTTAAACTTCAATTAGAAGTCATCAAATTTCGATTTCAGTAAAATTTCAGTTAAATTGACCGGCTCAACTAGACGTACCAAATAATGCCAAAAGCGATCCAATCCAAATTGAATCAAACCCAGATAAAGCCATTAAACCAATTTTGGAAGCTTTCCATTAATAATTAGAATTAAACAAATTTTGAGTATGATGTGCTTGGAGTCAAGAAGTGTCTTGATAAAACGAATCCAACTAATCTAAGATCACTCAATCTCTACATCATTAAGGGCCAAAAGTGTCCCATTGAATGCCCTCCGATCAAGAGGATCTCTGTAGGCCGTTTGATCAAGATTGATCGTGATTTTTTCTTTATTGCAATTTAGCCTTTCTAAATAACCATAAACCCCTCTTAAGAGGGGACCTAGGCCCTGTTCCGGAGAAAGACTAGAGCATGCATAATAGGGAGATACAACGCGACATTCTATAATGTAGATCCAACTAACTACGATTGCCGCAATTCAGCCTTCACCACCTCAAACTTCTGCCTAAATATTTGACTAAATCAAAATTTTTGGGGGTTTTTCACAAATCACAGTTGGAATAGCAATGACCTATGAGAAATTATAAGAACAATAAAAAATGACTTTTTTTATCATGTTGGTATGTTTATATGTTATCATATTATTATCGTACAACAAAACCATTATCTGCAGAAAACAAACTCCAGCACTATATAAGCCATCTCATTTATTAATAAAAAGCTCAAACAAAACACAATCAA